GGGACATTGAAGTTATGGTGAAATAATGGGTAATTTTTAAAACTATTAAATGATATTATTTAGCAGGGGATAATAAATATAGGGCAAAAAGAAATGCTATTTATGTTTAAACGAACTGTTGGAAGAAATGTCCTTCTGGGTTCAGTTCCAAGTTGGGGGAAGACACTAAAAACATGGAGGCTGCTTGGAAAGATGGTTTAATGGTGGACAGGATCACACGGCTTGAACTCCTGAACAGAAAAGGGGATCACATGCTTTAAGATGTTGAGTGAAGAAAAATAGAGAGACAGATGCTGAAAGACCCTGGTTTTATGTCCTCTCTGGGCTTTGAACCTGAGCTTGTATTCTGATTGGTTGTCAGACTTCCATGGGGCCATGCAGGGGCAACTCTGTAGTCCCAAACTTGAGTCCAAGTTTGGTTAAGCATTGCTTCTTTCCAGGTGCCCTGTGCTGAGATGGGTAAAGGGCTAATATTATTATGCCCTAATCCCATCACTATGGAGCTGAAGGGGGGAGATCTTTGTTATGTAGAATAAACTGGCTCAGGCCTTTTAATGGCCCATTGACAAAGGTGGGGGTATTAAGAGTGAGTCTGTTTCCTGCCTAAAAACATGTTTCTCCATTTCTTATCCAGGGAAATATAATATTCTGCGTTTTCAATATTTCACAGGTTATTTCATTTTTCTAGGAGATGAGTGGGTTTTAACTTCCTACAGAACTATTAGAAAAATGATAAAGGATTATGGAAAGAAACCAATATTGTTGAAGTTGGAAGATTTGAAGTATACATATTTATTTATTTGTATTACTATTGCTTAAGTGGCTTAAAAAAGACTTGACCCAGTCAATGTACTGTCCATAAAATATAAATGTTTATATTGGAGGAAAAATTTATTTTAAAAAAATTGCTTCTCTGCAAGTCTGGACTTGCCCTGCCTTCGATTGATTGTGAGGTTTGGCTTTGGGCTGAATGCCAGGACAACAAATAGGCACGGTTAAATATAAAATCTTTTGCTTCAGGTCTCCCAACTAATTCTCGCCCTCTTAGCGCCACGCTTTGGGGGAAGGGGGCGGTTGCCCCGTCTAGAGGCAGCGGCTTTTGGAAACGGCTCTGCCACAGCTCCAGCCTTTGGCTCGCTGTGAACCGAGATCACGAGCCGGACTCGACAAAATTATCCACGTTGTGACAGCCCCGAGCTGGGAACGTGCGCGCCTGCCGCTTCCCATTGGCTAGACCCCCTCCCTGACGTCACGGCGGGGAGGAGTGTCTTTCATCAGCTGTGCGGGGTAATGCCAGGAAGCGAGTGTCTTTTTGGAAACAATACCGTGTGGTGCTAAGCGGCGGCGCCTCAGGTTGCAAGCCCGGGGACTTTCCGGCTCCCGCTCTTTCCGCTGGCGGCTCTTGTTGGCGCTTCAGCAGCAAGTAGTAGACCTGATGAAAGGCGGGATCCGTTTCGGAGATCGCCGCTTTGAATAAGCGACCAGGACTCCTGGATCTTGTCTCCGGGATACGATCGTAAGCTTCTGCAGCTGTTCTGCCCGAGCAGAGGCGCAGTGGGGGCAACAGGTCAGTATTTGGGGAGTAGCGGGGGGGAGGCTGGCAAGGCAGGACTTGAGTGACAACTCCGTTATTTGTATTTATAAGTTCTGTTATTTATAAGTTCTAAATCACAACGTGCTCCTTGGGATTTGGATTTCCTTAGCGAGCTAGTGGAGAGTCCCTCGAGAGCCTTCATTAGAGATGCAGGCATCGCATCGGCGGATTCTTCTACTTGATAAGTTCTGGGGGTCCCCTTGCGCAGTTAAGGAAGTTACATTGAAGCAAGGGGCTTCTTCCCCCCCCCCCCCAAGTCGGTTAAATGATCTTCCCCCACATGTGGCTTTCTCTGCGTGAGTCAGGTTTAAAGTTGCACAGGCTAGCATTATACAAAATATTCATCGAAAGATACACTATATTGCCAAAAGTATTCGCTCACAACTGAGTCTGATTAAGTGGATAGGTGAGCGAATACTTTTGGCAATATAGTGTATATTTGTATATATTTCTCCCCTTGCACTCTCACATGAGATATTACTGCTTTGTATATCTTGCAGTTAACTTTCCAAGACATAACTTAGTCCTCACTTGGCTTAAGTAAAAAGTGGGGGGAGGGGTGTGTCATGGCTACTTGGCTTCCAATACGGCTTGATAGGCAGGACCTGAAGAATGGAAACTTCTTCTCTTTCATTTTTGTTTGCTGGCCATTAAAGTTGTCGAAGATATAAGGACAACAAACTAGTAGGACCACTGCATCTGAAATTTGTGCCAATGGTTTGTGATAGTTTTAGATATACAGAAAAAATGGGATGCAAACAAAGATCATTTGTTATCTAGCGAAATAGTTGTTCGGATACCAAGACTATAACCATCTTAAATAGTTCCCACATAATCATTAAGGAATGCAAATTTGTGTTCTGCAAAATAGAAAAGAGACACTTGGTTTTGCGGAACTGGCCACCAAGGTGCTATACTTGATGTTTTAATTCTTAAAAGACTCAATTTATTTCTTGCACCATGGATGCAGTAAGGCCTTGCTATTTGTGGACTCATTTGGATAAAATATGAGTATCTGGTTTTTTTCCCCTCGTTCCTTTTCACTGTAAGAATTTGGTTTGACCTCTTCCTGGGCTGATATAATGCATTTCAACCTTAAAGATTCTTTATGAGTCATTTAAGCACCGATTGAGTCATTTAAGCGCTGGGCAGAAGGCAAAAGGAAGAGCTAAAGAAATCATGAAACCAACTTGTCACTTTGTTTTGGCTAACTGGCATGCACGTGTGTTATGTCCTCCCCCACCCTCTTCCTTGTTCTTCCATTCCTGAAGAAAGGCAAGTGGTTGTATATTGATTTTTTCCCCCTGAGAGAATGCTAGAGGTAATGGAAGAATGCCTGCATTGTATGGTTCCTCAACAGGTGTTTCCAAGTGGAAAGAACTGCAGAATTGGTTTCATTCTTTCCCATTCGGGGTTGTGAAGTTGGTTGCTGAATTGATTTCCTTCTTTCCAAAGAGCATGATGGTTATTTATTATGCTTCTATAGCATTTCAGGAAATATAAAACTGCTTGCTTGGGACTTTCAGGGGATTCCAGTCCAGGTGCTCAGATGTGCTGAATGGTATCAATATAATTGCATCGTGTGCACTTAAATCCCCAGGATGTTGCCTTTGGATACCAGTGTATTCATAGATACTTTCCTTGCTGCCACCTGCCCCACTCTTATTATTAAATATTATTATAATTCTAAACATCTAGAATAATTTTTATTTCTCAAGAGTGCCCTTGCATTTCACATTGGCATTGTTGGAAAACAAAAATAATAGATTTATAGTGTGAGAAGGAACTGCATAATCCTTGCCCTTGTATATTTATAATTTGCGCTCCTTTCAAGGATCTTGGATTGGCCCCATAACTGCAAAATAGTGTTTGAGTGCACACATCACATTAAAGCAAATGATGTGGGTTTGCTTTTGGCTCAGTGTATAGTGCAAATACAACTATTGCCACTTATGAAATTTGCCACTTATGAAAAAAATGAAAGTTTTTGCTTTAAGAACCCTTACAACACTGGGTTTATTCCATAAACCATGACTAAATGAATCATGATTTATTGTGATCTGTGAACCTAGCCTAAAAGAAAGTGATGAGTTCCCAAGCTCCAATTCTGTTTTTTCCATACTGCTAACTGTTCAGAACCTCACAGACTCAAGGACTCTTTATTTCAAAGTGAGCCCCACTGAACACAAAAGGACTTACACATATGACTGTATAGTAAGTGAATATTGTTCATAACATACTTACAAACATAGGATCTGTGTTGAGGGACCGTTCTCTCTCTAGGTTATACATTAAAGACCCTAACTATGGTGATAGATATTATGAATACTTATTGGATAGCAGTCTTAATTATGTATGCAAGATTATTAGTATGTTTAATCTAGAGAACAGGGATGTGGTGGCTCAGTGGTTAAGATGCTGAGATTGTCGATCAGAAAGGTCGGCAGTTTGGCGGTTTGAATCCCTAGTGCTGCGTAACGGAGTGAGCTCCTGTTACTTGTCTCAGCTTCTGCCAACCTAGCTGATTGAAAGCATGTAAAAATGCAAGTAGAAAAATAGGAACCATCTTTGGTGGGAAGGTAACAGCGCTCCATGCACTTTTGGCGTTTAGTCATGCCCGTCACATGACCACAGAGATGTCTTTGGACAGTGCTGGATCTTCGGCTTTGAAATGAAGATGAGCACCACCCCCTAAAGTCAGGAACAACTAGCACATATGTGCGAGGAGAACCTTTACCTTTACCTAGCCTACAGACGTTGTAGAGAGATATGATCGCTGTCTTCAACTATCACAACAGTTATTATATAGAAAATGGGGGAGAGTTATTCATAATCCTATTCCAGATGATGGAAAAAAAGATAAGGGGTTGAAATTACTGTGACCCGTCAAAACCGCGGTCCACTAAAGTGCACCCGATCAAAGCGCGTACGTGACGTCATCAGCAGCGCAACAAATAAAATTAAAAATAAATTAAATTAAAATTAAAATTAAATTAAAGCAAGCCGATTCACATAAAGGTAAGGGTTAGGGTTAGGGTTAGGTTAAGGGTTAGGGTTAGGTTTAGGGTTAAGTTAAGCGTTAGGGTTAGGTTTAGGGTTAGGTTAAGGGTTAGCATTAGGTTTAGCGTTAGGTTAAGGGTTAGGTTTAGGGTTAGGTTTAGGGTTAGGTTAAGGGTTAGGGTTAGGTTTAGGGTTAGGTTTGGGGGGGTTAGGTTTAGATTTACGCGTTAATTTTAAGTTTACCGCTCACAGCGTGCCGTTTTCGTCACGCTGTGATGACGTCACGTACGCGCTTTCGTCGACCGCGCTTTAGTCTACCGCGGATTTGTGGTGGAACTGAAATTACAAGGAAGTCAATGTCATCTGGACATTAGGGTAAAAACAGTCCTAAAAGTAGGAGCACAGTGCCTTGGGTGGCGGTGGACTCTTCCATATTTAAACACTGGATGTTGTAGAAATGGACTTTTACCCTAGACATGAGATTGGACTAGAACATTGTTCTACCCTTTCATGTTGATGTTTCATTTCTGCAATCCTTTCTTCCATTTACAGCCTACAGCAGATACATAAATGGAGTAAAATGAAATCATTAAAAAAAATTAAGTCATTTGGGAGTTGTTTATTCCAAGGCAGAATAAAAGAAATACAGTGGAAATGGTGCATGGCATGGCAAACATAAATTGGATTTCATTCTGCTCAAACATGAGATTGCTCAGTGAAGGTGAGATCAAAAGAACTTCTTTACAGAATGAAACGGAGCAAGCTGAAATTGAATCCAGACAATCCAGAGATACCATTGGCAAGAAGAACGCTGGACTCTGGAATGGTGATGTTTTGGATGGGACTGCACTCCCCAAGAAGAAATGGGTTTACAATTTTAGAGTGGTTCTTGACCACCAGCTGTCATTGGATTTGCAGCTGGCAGCTGCAATGAGCAGCACTTTGCACAGTTATGGCTAGGGTGCAGCTGGGATCCTCCCTTAGCCAGTGGAATTTAGTGACAGTAATTTGCACCTTGGTTACAACTTTTCTAATTTATGTGGGCCTTCCCTTGTTAAGCATCCAGAGAGTGCAGTTGGCGCAAAATGAAACATCCAGCTTCTGGTTGGCTATGCAATATAGGAATCCTGTGATGTTTGGACTAAAAAAATCTGCACTGGTTGCTAAATGTGTCCCAGGCACAATGGAAGATGGTCGCACTGACCTTTAAATCCCTAAACTGCTTAATGGTAGATTATCTGGGGCATTGCGTCTCCTGCTGCAAACCTTTCGGGTTACTCAGATTGGCAGGAGAGGCCCTTCTCAAGTACCCCATTGTCACGGTTCATCTTTGTGGGAAAGAACCACCTTCTCTATGGCTCCAAAGCAAGCTTAGGAAGAATTCCCTAAGGAGCCATGTTTGGCTCCAGATCTTTCAATATTTATCAATTATTTTATTGATTGATTTTCATTTTGGTTTGGGTTTTATTTGTATTATTTTTAATCTTTAATATTCTGTATTTTTGCTTGTTGATAAGTCACTAGAGTAATTAGAAAACTGAATATGCATTTAGTAATATTAAAAAATGAAGGTGGAAAGCTAATTATTTTCCAATGCCATAGAACAATTTTCTATCCCTGTTTTCAGCCTTTATTCTGTTTCTTCCAAAGTTCCTTGTAACCAACCACTCCTTCAGCATTGTTCAACTTACAACGGCATTGAAAACAGAGATTTGTGATCAGTCCTCAAAGTTTTAAGCTTTGTAGTGTTCCCATGGTCACATGATCATGATTCGGACTCTAGGTAAGTAGTGCACATTTATGATGGTTAGAGAGGACCAGTTCATGTGATTGCCATTTGTGATCTTCACAACCATCCGTCAATAAGCAAAGTCAATGGGAAAGTTCACAAATTATGGTGAAGTGACATCACACTTAACAACCTGTGGTGACTCGCTTAACAATCACAGCCAGAAGTGACAAACTAATATAAC